AGAATCATACCAGAAGATTCATAACTTTCTAATTTCTTTGCGACAAATTCCTTATTAAATAGCTTCAACCTGGCGGTAGTTAAGGCAAATATTTTGGGGTATATATGTTAAAAAGGGGGGGTTATTTCCTTTATGTACCCCTAAAAGAGCATGGACTTTGAACTGATTAAGTTCAAAAAAAATTTTAACCTGGATGACGTTATTAAGAGGTTGTTGTTGTTGTTGTTGTCTTTTTTTAAAGAAAAAACACGACACCATATGAACTGATATGTCTTTTCAACTCAAAATGAATACCTGAAATAGCCAAGAGTCATTCCAGCGGATTTTTCGGTTGAGCCTTGTCATTTTTTGAGTGAGACAGGGTCAGAATTTTTATCCTCATGGATTTGTCTTAAGTGCTTCTAGCAATATCATGGACGCTTAAAAATTATGGTTCACTTAATAAAAAAAAACAAAAGGAGACAGAAAGTCTTTACCGTAAGGCATAGTCAAATTGAGGTATATTCATATATCCGCCGCATCGAGTTGCGAATCCAAGAGGAATGCAAACCAATTATAATTTGTAGCTTTCCCTTGCCCTAAAGAATTTTCGTTAATTAGATTAATTTCAATTTTTCCTCTAAAATGAATGTATATTTAAGCAGAAGTGAACTAGTTCTGCTTGGAATCTCTGACTAACCGGCTTTAGAGCCAAATTCTAAACCTGTTGTTTTCCGTGTATAATGCTGTTTTGTAAAGATCCTCTTGCGCTAATTTAAATTCCCCTCGACTTTGTTTTGGCACTTTTGTTAAATTTGCTTTTCACAGAATAGCCTATGGCACGTAAATGAAGTATAACTCAAGTTTTCACAATACAACATGGAAAATTGTATGTCTATAAAATTGAAAGGCCATTTCTTAAGCTTGATATTTTTCATGAAATAACTAAAAATGTGTATTTTAGTCGTTTTATGTTAAGTGCTAAGATCAATCAGGTTTGGTTTGTCGTCAATCAATTTTCAATTCCTTTTTGATAAGAGAATTTTTTAACTTCCAGCCACAAGTGTTTGGGTTTAAACACGTTTTTTCTTGTCAGCTACTTCAAACATTTTTCACCATTTTTTTTTCGTGTTTTAAAACGTAACACGCTCTAACGAGGTTGATGTTTTAGATTTAAATGTCAAACTGTGATACTTTCGCTTATCATAGGTAACTCAGATACTAAGTAACTCAATACTAAGTAATATAACATTTATCGCTAAGGGCGGAATAAGCGTAAAGCTATTTCGAGAAAGTCAATGCATGAGACAGCCTTTTATGCTTACAGAAAACGAATGACATGATAAAAGATATGAAATTATTTAATATGCCAGATTTGCTGATTAACTTACATCCTTGAAATAAGGTCTTCTTTTGAAATAAACAACACAATGAAATGATTCAAAATTGAACAAACTTAAAAAAAATAATACCGGAATACTATAATTCACGACTCAAAATTACTCTTTAAGTCATTCATTTTATTCATGGACATAATACTAGACAAGGTATCGAGATAATTAATAACACATTATTTTCCCTTGCAAATATAACCCCAGTATTTTCGCCCTTATGGACGTGTAGAGGATTTCCTACTGGTTTTTCGGGAACCACGCCAAATCTCTACAAAACAGTGATATCACGGTGTGATATGGCTTATATAGACCTCATACTAAGTAACTAGCTAATGGCGTCATGAATATGAACAAGTAGGCTAAGCTTCTATGTGTATCAAAACTTACTTACGAGAAACTTGGTTACGAAATAATCGTTACAAGAACATGAGAAGGGATCTCTTCTAATGACAGAAGGGCCTTAAAATAACGCCACAACCACTAAATAACAGTCGTATCGCATACTATTCTACTACTGATACCTTTGAGCTTGTAAAATACCACAAAATTAAAATTTGTTTAGTCTTGCATGAAAGAAAATGTTTAAAATATTTTCCATATCCGCCTTCCAATGTCAGTCTTAAATCGAAGGTGCGAAATCATCTCGAATAAAGTGGAAAGGTCTCCTTGAAAAACAAGGAAAAATTACTTTTCGTCAAGAGTGTCTTCAGGTATGTACTTTTGTTGTGGACTTCAGTTTAACTCAAAATGTAATTAGGAAGATGATTTACAAGCAGTTTTAATGATAATAACAGAATGATATTAGCTGTTAACGCCGTAGATGAAAACACCAAAAATTGTGGAAGGAATTTTACCGACGGTGAATTTGAACATGGTTCGACTGAAAAACGCTGATTCCATTCGCTCTGACGAAGGGCCTATGCTCGAAAAGTCAGCTTAGAAACTTTTTACGATGGCCAATTTACATCACAAACTCAGTTGATAAAACCAAGTTATTTTTTATACTCCCCGCAGACGCAGCACCACAGTTTCTTTACAAACTTACCCCCTTTATGAAAAAAGCCAATACCGAGGTTTCTTAGAGTAGCATTGCATCGATTAAAGGGAGGAAAAATCCAATAGTTGTATCAACTTGGAAGTTTAACTTAACTCACTGATTTAAGAATATTTTGGAAGAAATAAGTATTAAGAAAAGTATCGTTTTGGCATCATAAATTAGAAAAATCATTCGTCTAATGTCACGTTTTTTACCTGAAAAAGAAAAGCAAGAACTTTTTAGAGCATCACTCAATCTGAGTGCCCCCTGATTTCTGATGATTAAAAACGTAAAAGGAATTAATATGCATTGGAAAAGCAAAATTGAAAAACAAAATTAAAATCGCTGAAATTACACAAACAAGTGATTCAATCTTACGTCAAGAAAAGGAAATGGAAAATTGGATACTTTGTAGCGTGGGCCTCAGTTTGGTGCAACCTGTACTTGCGGTTGATGCAAATTTACCACGCATGTTAGCCTTTCAGCAACATGCGTAATTCAACGACTCAAAACTTCCTTTGTTTCGTCTCGTAAAAATTTCGAACAGTTATTCTGTTATTATCTGTCTAATTCAGTGATATGTGGGCCTGATCCATCTTTGTACAAATACTCATTGCATTAATGAATTTGTATGGTCAAAATAGTACGGTTTTACATGATCTTTATCTCACTTCGTCGTAAACATTAAAATGTTATCTATGAAAAAAGTTCTAGAAATACAATAACTTATCGTAATGGACTGGTGTATTTTTGGATTTTACAACTTTATTTCCTGCTCATTCTCTGAAGCGTTGTGGCTGGGTGATTCAGGACAATATAGTCTCTTCTCGTGTCAGAAGCCCACAAAGAGCTTATCTTCATATTTGGTAAACTAAATGCTCGGTATTATACCTTCAGAATAACTTGAAACTGTTTTATATACACTAAATTGAACATTGAAAGATGGTCGACATTTTATCCCATCTTCAGAGATGAACTGGAATAAGGGGTTCACTCAATTTGTTTTTCATACATCTTAGAAGTACATTAAACCTTTTATTTCTGACTTTTTATCAATGACCCGGTTATTTTGTTGAAATCAATTTTATAGTTTTTCTGGCCTAAAAAACTCAGTCGTTTCTACACAGACTTCCGCTGCTACCACGTTAAAGATATTTTAATCCACAGGGCGAATGATTGCATTTGGACACTTTAAAAAAAGTAACGATAAGGATACATGTTAATGCTTCTTACGAAACATGCTTTATCTTTCAGCGTGGTCGACAATGCATAAAATATCTTGAATCTGATTCAGAAGCACAAAATGTGCCAAAAAATTAAGAAACAAGCTAGTGATGTTTAAATTAAGCGGCATCCTCATCAAAAGGTTTTGAGAAACAAAGTTATGTGTGTTGGCTGATTCACTTTTCGCTATTCGATACTTTAAAGGTTGAAAATAATGATATGTAGTTGTGCCAACACTGCTAATGTTCATATGTAGCGCATCATTTGAGTCAGTAAAACAATTTGAAAGGACTGCAAAGGATGTTTCAGAGACAAATTTTTGTCGTAGTAATTTTGAAAAACAAGCTAATTTATCAAATTTTTTTTGGAAGATACTCACTTGTTTCATTTCTCTTGCTGTAGATCTTTATGGATTATTTAATTTTTCGTTATGTGCAAAATAACCTTTATTCTCCATTGGTTTCTGTTCTCCACTTGGTTATACTTATTCAGCAATTTTTTTTGCCGGGACTTTGAAAATAGGAAAGTTGATAATGAAATAATTGGTTGAAAATTTCCCATTAAGCTATATAACGCAACTGAAAGGATACCCCAGCACTGTTTAAGATCATTTGACTTTCTGGCAAATTTGGTTATTTCTAAGGCTTTAAGGCAATTAAGATCAACATTGCATACATTAACTTCATGTCAAAAAGTATGAAATTACCGACATTTCAATATAGCTAGATCTATGTAAAATCATCACAGATCGTTGAGGAATCTTAGCTGCCGAATGCAGGCTTCTCTCTTAATGCCACCCCTCTCTAAACGTAAAGAACCTTCGTCTTATTTTAGTTAAATTTTAGTGTTCATGAAAAATAGAACTCCACATGTATGTTTTTGAATTTTTGGGTCCACTTAAGGGCAGGAAATGCCAAAAATTCAACTCAAAAGCTACATTTCTAACGTAGAAAGGAAAGCAATCAGGCTGCTTCCTAAGTAGGGGGGAAATTAATTCATGTTAAGTAACCTCCCACCAACGCAAGACCCCAATGAAAATACTATGTCGCGCAGTGAAAGCCCCTTCAAAAAATTCAAAATTATCAAAATATTGATTCTGATAACGAAGTCCACATTCGTTGAGACAGATATCTTCCTGAGTGTTGTCTCTTTTCGGCAATATCATATATGTCAATATTGTTAACTCGGGCCGACGTGATAGACGTCACACAAAAACACCCCAGGGTACGTTTATAAAACGTAATTGAACAAATTGCTTTAACTCTGACGCCTGGCGCTATCTATTGTTTCAACCTTTATTTGCGTTAATGAAAGACAGTTTATTATTTTTTGTATATATCAGAAACATTTCCGTTTGTTAGACCAAGCGGGATATTAAATGAGAACACGTTGCTCTTTTTTCGACAAACCTTTGTAAGACTTTAGCCAAAAAGATCCTTCACTGAACAGAAGATAAAGATCTTCATGCTTTCGTAGAATGACATCTATCGTCCTAAAGTAAGTAACTGCAAGACTAGCAATGTACTTTAGGTAGGCTTGATGTTTATGGTCACTTATTGCCTCATTTTTATACTTGGAACACCAACTACTACGCTTATATATGGCAAGTGTTTTATGTTGTGCGTGCCACTCTGTTAAACAAATAGTTTTTCTCATCCCAATTTTCTTGTTCTTTACTCACGGCTGTCGCCGTACCTCTACTAATATTACCTTTCACAGCTTCCAATTTATGAAAAATTTGTTAGATATTACTAAAAAGGAACAAGATAAAACTCTGTTGGAGATCATATAAGATCCTAATTTCTTATTTTCGAGTCCTCACTTATCACTGACTGCGTTTTAAGTATCTTTCTACTTTTTCCTTAACAAGAGTGAGACAAACTAGTGAAATAAGATGTCGAGATTTTAAGTAGTGTTTGTGAAATCGAATAATTGACACCCAACCTTTTTATTTCCATCGTTAACTTATGTTTTTATTTTATAGATACATTATATTGTTTATATTAACCAAGCGTTCAAAAGCCTAACACGATCCAAGCAATTTCGATTCAACTTGTTTGATTAATTACCATGTAAACTCTGAACCTTCTTTCATTTAGTTAACTCACAAACGACAAGAGCTACGCTGGTAAAAAAAAATAAAAAACAGGGATACAGAAGATTCGAAATTCGACTTTATTCCAGTAACTGTAGGGGAAATATTCAGATCCAGCCATCACAATTTTTTTTCCTTTTACGTAATTACAAAAATTATTTGTTAAATACACGGAGGCCTGTCACGAGAAACAAAATTGGATTTATTATAAATACGGAAATTTAGTTTGTTTAATGGTTCTGCTTTTTCGGAAATTAAGTATTGTTTGCACATTTAAAAAAAGTGCATCTTTATAAACCATAACTAGATGGAAATTTGTGCCCGCTTCCGTCTGAGTCTAGAAAATAATGTTTTCCAGAAAAGCTGCACTAGTGCGTTTTGCTTGATTCTCATCGGTAAGAAAAACCATCGTATTTTAGTGGGTAGGTTCAATCACGCGTTTTAAGTGTACTATAAGTTGTAAGTCACATGTAGGATTGTTATAAACGTATCAGTCCCCAAGGGTGGTTACTTGTTGATTAGAGATTAACATTTCCAAAACCAATGGTATTAAAGATATCACAGACATCTGGGTTGAAGAGTCGTGACAAACTCTCTCATCATCACACTACAACCCAGGTATACCAACTGACCTAGAGAAAAAGTATCATAAATCCAGGCCAAACGTGGTCAATTTTTTAGCTTTAGCCGGCATACCATCATTATACTGGTTTTGTTGATAACATCGACTGAATGAGCATTTTATCTTCCAGAATGCCAGCTTTTAAAGTCACCGTCTTCTTTTTGATTTTTTCGGCGATGTGTAACGCTCGACAATTCGAAGCTACGGATGAGGACAGCGCTATAGGTGCGCTCCATGAGCGAAAAGACGCACGAGATGAAACAAGGAAACAGCGAAATAGCGCGGAAGAAGGAACGTTAAACGCAGAAGTTGATGATATGCAGCGTCTTTCAGAATCCCACAGCAATAAAAGAGAAGACGATTTGCCCAGAGTGTGGGAACGATCCATCGAGAATGAAAACCAGGTGCAAAAAATTGACAACGATTTACAGTCTAGTCCCGAGCAAGCCGACGAATCGGAAGACCGAGAACAAGACGATAGTCCATCGGTTTTATCAGCACGGAACATGGCGAAACGACGAGGAATTAAAGACGGCCCTGCAGATCTCTGGGGTAGGGGTATTGAAAATGGTCCCCCGGGTCTTTGGGGGCGGGGATTAAATAACGGTCCTCCGGGTCTCTGGGGTAGGGGACTAAATAATGGTCCTCCAGGTCTATGGGGAAGGGGATTGGATAACGGTCCTCCGGGTCTATGGGGAAGGGGATTAAAGAACGGTCCCCCAGGTCTTTGGGGACGTGAAGCTAGAGGAACTTCAGCTCTGGGCCGTAAAAACGCAAATGGACCGCCAGGGCTGTGGGGGCGGGAAATTAAAAATGGACCCCCGGGACTCTGGGGTCGGGGATTGCGAAGTGGAGCCGTAGGTCTTTGGGAACGGGAACTCAAAAATGGCCCTCCAGGACTCTGGGGCAGGGGATTGCGAAATGGACCCCCGGGACTATGGGGTCGTGAAATCGAAAAAGTCTCAAAATCATCGAAAAGGGAACTATCTGATGTAAAAAGCACAGAGGAAGATGGAAATGAAGACAAAGAGGATATTCAAGAAATGAAATGACGTCATATATTTCTCTTAAATGGAAATTTATAACCTGGGCAAAAGTGGCAAATGAACTTTAGAATTTCGTTTCAAAAACAAGTCAATGGAAGAATTTGTTATAGATTAACTTAGAGTTATGTTTAAGACTATCTAACGAACAAAAATTGAGTTGTCAAACAAGGCTGCCATTAAAGAGCTACTCATTATTTACAAACTGTAGTATTGATAAGCAACGTCTTCTTTCCTGTAGAATCACACAAGACAAGGAATTATCTATAAATTGTACAAATTTCAATTCGAGAACAAATAAATGACATCGTACACTATGTTAATCATTGTATCATCTGAAAAGTCTTATAGTTTTAATGTTTTATAAATTTACAATGACGCTTTACATAAAAAAAATCCTTCCTTACATCGCTGGTTGCTTAGCAACATGGATTATGCCGCTTGCCACGAGCAGTTCTATATATCTAAGAATGTTTGCACCGGTAAACCAGTCTCCAGGTTTCCAAATCGATTCATTTTATCGTCATTTTCACTGACATTTACATTAAGATTTACAATGACAATATGAATATTCAATTTGATGTTTGAATGTTTCAAAATAGATTATTGTATTGATAACTTGGTTCTGACCACGCCACGCGGCATCATTCCCGCCGTTCGATTACCAATAAGTTTCAGATCATGTGGAGCATCCTGAAAGCGTTCGTTAGTTTCTATCGTACAGCAGACTGAAAAACAATTCAGCAATATAGATAACGAGTTCTTAACAGGGTAAACAAAGAAAACATTGGGGATTTCAGCATTTTATTGACTTCTTTGTTATCAACAACTTGGTTACCAAATTTCGGCCCGGTTCAATTGAGCTCAAGCTGCACTGGCTGGTAAAACTACTGAAAGGGAAAACAGAAAATTACAACACAACGACCCAGCAGGAATTCGACTTGAAGCCACCAAAACTGTTTTCCTTTGACGGAAAGAGTAATTCAAACGGTGAGACGTGTTTTAAAATATAGGCCCCTTGCAATGTGTTTTTGAATCAGGAGTGTCAAAGAACAATGCCTCACAGTATGGTGTGAAATGTGAGTAAAGTTCGAGGTAATTATCATTATAGTCTTTCGCTAGCCGTTTAATTATTTTGTTTTTGTGTTATATCTATTCACCTCTGGAGCGTGTCAGTGTAAAGCGAACCCCTGTATGCTCGTTCAGTGAATTTTCTAGTCCGTCCGCTCTCTGAACACACAATCATGCTACGAATTAGAAGAATCAGCTCTGCAAAGATCAGCTAATGCACTCTCAGCACTATTATACCAAGAGTAAAGGTATTGTTTCAAACAAATAATCTATGAATTTTCGAATTACGTTCCACTTCACTTTATCAGAGGCAGAATAAATGAGTTTAGATGTAGTTCATAATACATATCAACGAGTGAAAAACTTCAACTCGATTTAAGATTATATAGAGAAAATCATTTTAAATCCATGTAACAACCAAAAGCCCCAAAATCTAACCGTCAAAAGGCCCTATAGGTTTACTGTCGACCCTTCGAGGCTTGTAAAGATGCGAGGCTGATAAAAATTATGCTCTGATACTGACGTCATATAAGATGGCAGTCCCTCACCTTTAGGCGCCAAACATTTCCACGTCATTTTTGTTTCCGAAAATTATGACACCCATCAGCAAGCTCTTACGAAAGAGGAAAAAACAAAACGAAACGAAAAGAAGAGTTAAACATTCAAGTAAAGGTAAAGGCGACAACGCATTTCCTTTAACTTGTTGTAACATCTATACTGGTCTCGTTTTCGAATTTTAAGGAACACAGGACTTATTTTCGTGTTTAATTTACCTCGTCCACACCTCAAGGGGATTTGGCAGAATAAGAAGAGTAAGCAGACCTGAGACGCAGGGTCAAATGAGATTTTGTAAACACAGAAAGAAGTCCTTTACTGCTTTTTTTTAAATATATCTCAGCGAGAAGTGAAAGTGTTTTCATGTTCTCATCTAAGCACACCTATCGACCAATGAGAATAACTGTATAAGTTTTTAAAATTCTTTCGTAACGGAAATTAGCAGCACAGCTGAACTAAACACGTGACACAGCCATTTCGCACAACACCCTCATGCGGTAACGCAAGTTACTTAGTCAATGCCACGCTTTTGAAAAATCTCATTGTTTCTTTGATTGACAGCGGTAACGAAAGTCGTTTGGTCACTGTCACGCTTCTGAAAAATCCCATTGTTTCTTTGATTGACAGCGGTAACGCAAGCCGCTTGGTCACTGTCACGCTTTTGAAAACTCCCATTGTTTCTCTGATTGACAACACAGTTCGAGCCTGTTCTCGATTAGCAAAAAGAAGCGCAGGTTCATAGCTTTCAGCAATAGCCTTGTTTGAAGATTCTTCAGAGCCTGAGGTAAGATAATATCCAAGTTTTCTCTCTTTAAGATTTTTTCCCGCAAAATCCATTGAAGTCGAGATCATGTCGTATTTTGAATTTGTTATGACGGATTTCACAAGATCTAGCTTAAAGACAAACCGCATAGTTAATTTGAAATCAGAATCAGACTAATTTAGGCGGAAGAATCAGTTCCTTGCTTATAATTGCAGTGCATTCGCAAAGTAAAAAAGAATTTCTGTGACGAGATTGTTGCCCATAACTTGTGTTATTCTATCACTTTGGCTCCACCAATTAACATTACCTATTATCAATAACGTCTATTTCTATCCAGCTAAAGAAATAAATGTGTCATTATTTTTTTCAGTTACTTTTTTCAAGCTTTTTTTTATAACCGCTGTAAGCGTAAAATAACAAAATCCAGTTTTTTAAATATTCACAATTATCATTAAAAGTTACGTGCAGCAAACATCTGTTGGACGAGTTAATGAAAAGAAATTTGTAAGAAGTTGAAATGTTCCATTAACCTGAAATTTCTCAATGGGGTTATTTCAATCAGTTCTCAATGCGAAAAATTAACGAGCTTTCAAAACATAACAATCAGGCTTTTGAAAATGACTCTGATTTAATCTCAATACCATTAAGAGAAAAACAACTCAAAGTGAACCACATTATTGGAAACTAGGTTTTCCCGTCTACCAAGTTCAATTTTTTTGGCAAAAAAAAAACAATAATAAAAAAATATGGTCACATCTGTTATTGAATTTGCCTTTGCTACTCATGTGGTTTAGGATTATGATGCAAATCCAAAATTTATCGAGAAAAAAAATGGACTGACACAAACGATATGGAAGAATAACACTATGATGTAGCCGCATGACTCAAACACTATAAGCATTAAAACATCATTAAGATTTAACTGCTTGACTCAAACACTTTTACTATTGTTTCAGCCCTAACGTGTTCAGTTCTTTTCACGGCCTAAGTCAATAACTGCTGTGTGGAAACCACAAGGAAAATAGAGATTTAATGATGACTGCTCTAAATTTTCTTTCTACTTTATTCAATTTGGCTCGAACATTATTTATCATATTAACAGCTTGATATCTTTTCAGCTTTGCATTTAAACAAAAACCGTAGAAATCATGCCAAAATAAAGTTGGGCTCAAAATAAATTAGTAATAGAAATAATATTTCTTCGTACAAAGTCGCTAATGCATTTAACAAAACATTGGATTTTACAAGATTATCTTCAATCGCAAGAACTGGTCATTTGTCACTAAAATCGAAACAGTTTTACAAAATTATGTATAGAGACTGCTCAGTCTTTAAAACTTCTTTGAATAACAAATTCTACTAACCTTAAGCACAAATAATTAAAAATTGACATTAACACTAATTTCAGGGATAAACAAAATACTTTTAAAAAAAAAGTGCGAAGTCCATGTGATGATAAAAACAGAATTTTCAATTAAGTGCGACCATTGTTCGTAAATGCTTCCTCCTGGGAAAACATGGAGGTGAGATTGTTACCTACCCTGTCAACACTGATGGTTACTTGAGTTAAAACCTCTCGGTGTCCTATGCATATCCAAAAGTACGTTTATCAAGTAGATTCTCCATTTGTGTTTCGTTTCAACCTTAAAAATCACCGTGATTGTTGTTTTAATGTTTGTTTGTTTGTTTGTATGTTTATATTTTCTGATTCTTCTAATTCTAACCAGTTGAAAATTTGTTTACGCTTGTCTTCCATGTATTACATGTATCTAGAGATATATTTCTATTTAAATAAATTTAAATGTAGTTTTCCTGCGCCGTAAAAGGGACGCAAATTATAACGACTCCGCGCGGACTGCAATTCTTTTTACAAGTAATTTAGCTAAATGGATCTTTAAGTTGTTAAAACCATCTAAATGCTCTGCTTTTTTGGCTATTCTTTTATCCTCTCACTTTTTCGTAAGCGTTGACTTATTTACTTATTTACTTAATTCATTTCTTATTTGTTTTTTAACACTGATCTGGTTTACTCTACATAAAATTTGAAGATAATTGAGGTTAAGAATAAATAATAAATAAATTCATTATATAAATTCAACAGAGGGGTGAATCACGCATTTAACAAACGTCGACCTTTAGTATAAAAAGGAAACTTAAAAATCGGCAAACTAGACTATTCAATTGCATATTATCTGAATGTGAAAACATTCTGCATTATTTAGAGATAATGTAATAAAAGGTGGTACAACTAGAAGCGTCCCCGAAACAAATTAGGTTATTGATATTACGTATATATAAGACAACCGTTTCTGTGGTTTACAAAATATCAGTTTTGATCTATATATAGAAGACAACTGCTCAATCTATCTAAGAGCTGAAGTGTCGCGGTCGCAAAACCCTCAGGGCAAGAATTGTGTCTTCAAGCTGTTACATGTTTTGTGACCAAAATGTTAGCGCATAGCCGACTGAAGATCGACGTACTAAAACGTCGAGGATAAGGCGGGTGAGACCGTGGAGGGTCACGATACAGAGCAAAGAGGAGAATGTCGTACACACGGACAAGGAACTATCATTCTAAAAACTAATTGATCTCGGGTTAGGTTTGGTCTTTGATATGTCACTTACAGACACGCTGTTATAAAGAGCACTGGCTCATAAACAAGTAAACAAAAACGACATTTAGAAGCAACAACTAAAAGGGGGGTGGGGGGGGTGTGGATTTTCGAGGTCAGCTCTCAATAAAGGTGTGGAAAATGATATGTATGGCTCTGAAATAGAGTCTGGGTTTGACTAGCCCCCGGCACCTCATTTCTAATAATTCCCCCCTTTCCCATTGAAAAAAAATTAAACGAACGACGAATACAGCTGGTTGGTCATCTCTGACACTTTTTTAGCCGCGAGAAGAAGGAGGAACATAGTTCTCGTTTATCAACACTATTTAAACTCGATAACATTATCCGATTCTCCATGCCCGTGACTAAATGTAACCACCAAAACCACTCTTTACCGGCTGTTCAAAAAAACCCTCCTGAGCTGGCCTTAAGGCTGTTGATTTGCGGTTTTTTTAATTCAAACAATGTCATCAAAAAGAATTCGTAAGTCTCTTATTTCGTTTTTTTGTAGATGGTTTCTCTGGCGTTAAATCTCTTAATTGAAAATTCGTTACGAAATTCATATACCAACTAATCTGTTCAGAATTCAGATTGGATTATTTATTTAAGTAGCCTTTTATATTGGTTTCCAAAAGCACGTAAAAGATATGGATAGTATAATACAGAGACTAGACTTACATCCAAATCACAGCTTGCAACGAGCCTTCAGGAATAAAAAAGGAGATCTTCTTGTTTAAAGCTCGTCTAACAACTGCTGGGAAATTTTATATGCAGTTTCTACACAACTCTTTCGGAAGAAGAAATCCATTTTCACAGATCTGCATTTGACATGCCCCATTGTGCATACAGTCTAAGACTGTCTTCATTTTGAACTTTGATTGAAAATCTACCCATTGCATACGTCAAAGACAGTTTTTTCGGGTGTACCTACCAAAATTTGATCAGGTGAATTAAGTGTGAAAAACCGCAAACCAACAAAAATACAAAACCCATCGAGTTTTCGCAAAAATAAACGTACAAAATTTTGGAAAAACCGGTTCGTAGATTGAAACAGAAAGTAGCTGAGATGAAAAATGCTACATCCACAACTAACAAAAAGATTCATAGCAAATCCTGGACGTGTATAAGCGTGTGACGTTCGTTGCGCGAGCATTTATTGAAGATATGCGTGCAGTAAATAAGAATGTTCCCTATCATCACGAAAATCATTTATATAGTCTGAGGCATTCCCGTTTTAATCCACCGCAGCCTATTAGCTGCGATCGATATCATACATCTAGACACATTTTCAAAATACTTATTATTTCATTATTACCACATAACCCAGGAACAACGAATCTATTAAACACCGAGTTTTTCATTTGCTCGCCAGCTTATAATAAATTAAGCGCGAAATCGTTTTCGAATGACAACTGCCTCAGGTTTCAAGGGTGTTACCCACACCGTCCTTTAACCTTAAGACGATCTGCATACTGAAAAGCTTTCTCGCCGAGCTTAGATTGTGAAAAAAATTGTGCCAAAAAATTTTTTTCCATGAAGATATCGATATTATCTTTCCATGGAGTGAGCTTTGAGAGCGTGACTCAATTTCCTTGATAAAATCTCCTTACTTTTGATCATCTTTGTTACAAAAGACCCTTATTCCCTTCCCATTTATATGCAAAAGGTCTTCAATATTTAATATGAGGTGAGAAGGAACTGACACAGATCTTATCCTGCCCTCATGCTATCAGCAGATGTGGCAGTCAAAACGCACGTAAAGGCGATAGAAAACATCAAAGTTTTTAAGCACTTGTCTGCAGTGGGTCGCTGAGACTATCGAAGAGTGTGGCGGAGTGAAAATTAAGTTCATCCAAGAGAGGTAAATCTGAAATTTAATCAATGAAAAAAGAAACTTTATTAACATAACGTAAAGTAATAATTATTGGAAAATAGACTTAAGCGATTAATACGGAAGTTTTTTACCCTCTTTAGTGGAAAAAAAAAGACTTTGTCATTTGCATGAGGGCAGGAAAAACATTTCAAGTCTCCACCCTAACAATTGAGTTCACATATATGTTAACGTCATAAAGCAAAACACCTCTCTTTGTTATTGTACCTGCATTTTCAGTTGTATGCACACTAATCTGTCTGAATACGTTCTGCCGACGGTGAAGGGCTTTGAAATTATTTTAATCGCCTTTATTTGATTTGCTCTAACCTAAGATCTTGCTTTTCATCATAAGCTTCTCTGCTTCTGTTCATTAGAAAAATCGTAACATGATTTCTTACGTTTGAATATTGACAATTCACTCGCCTTTTGATTTAAGTTGGTTATTTTTACTTCTAGTCTGTAAAACCAACGGATCGAAGGCGATGATGGGACTTTCAAACACAAGAGAGGTCAGCTTTGATCTTCTAATGAGAATAGCTCTCTTGACCATTATCCTCTGCGGAAAGTCTCACGGTTTTCAAAGGCAAGTAAGACGTACTTGGATTTCTAACAAACATCCTCACTGTGTAATAAGCAATTACTACCGAGATTAATTATTAATACCTGCCTTTACAGCCATGGTTACTCGAACTGTTAGAATGAGCTCGTTTTTCTTTAATTCGGAAGGGAGGAGAGGAAAGGTAAAACCACGGAATAGAAGGTGGGGGAGGGGGGAGGAATTGTGGAATTTTGCTTTCCTATACAGGAAGACTCTGTAAATGTAGTAACAGTTTTATTGCAAGGTATTTGAATGAGTTGACCGGTCAATGGGTGCAACCCGTTATCAAATTAATTTCTCGCCGTTTTCGCTCATCTTGTGAATCATTTTTACGCAGGACTGAATCTTTTGCTTCTACTGACCAGCAGTTAGCGAAGGACCTACGACATTTACTGAATAATTATGATTCTCGAATCAGGCCAAATTACACAGGTAAACACTTAAACTACTTTTTTTCTGTTAATTCTAAGGCTTCAATACTTTGCCTATATTTTCATTCGATGATTGAGAGATGCCTAGCTTAAGGTAATAGTGGCTGAACTTCAAATCTGAACGAAGAGGTCGGTGAAATCAAGTCACATTAGTGGTTATTGAATTGTTTTCTTCATAAAGATTGTCTACACGTTCAAAAAATCTGCGGCAGAGTAATATTTCATCTGGAAGAGGTAGAAATTTTGCTACTTTAAACGAAAATCAAAATAAAAACTTAAGTTAATATTTTCAAGTTTTTTTAAAGATAGATTTTAAAAGCCAAACAACAACAAAATTTACCCGTGATCGCGTTAACGTTTCTATCAATCCTGAGTAAATTCGACATAAAAATAGCACCAGTTATACTCCTCATGGTTTTACAAAAGGTTCAGAAAAGGCAGTGAGGGAATGTTCAAACAGGTCTTTATCCGCTCGCGTAAAACATGGTTTTACGTACCTTTCGAAAGGGTAGACATTGTAATAAAGACACAGATTATCCGTGATTCGGTGCAACCCAAACAGCTTGCTGTTCATTTCACCTCAGTTAAGTTGACTTTCATTTTGTTGCAGGTCGTCCAGTCGAAATCCTTGTTGATTTCTCGGTGGCGTCCTTTGCAAATATCAGAGAAGTGGAAATGGTAAGTATGCAGTCAGTGGAATTTTATGGTATCGAGTGATTTACTATAGTACCTGAACAGCTGCCTGTCTTTACCTTTTCGCCTCTTAAAATTCTCAGATTGACTTTAAATGGTATTAAAAGGAGATTCATTCTCCTGGAATACCAAGAGAATATACATGAATATATAAAAATAAAGGAGACACTTGCCATGTTTCGAGATTTTTAAGGGTAACCTAACATTTTGAAATTAAACCTGAAATCTGAGATGCGATAATTTTGGCCACGTGTACACTACAAATACGAGAGGATATTAACTAATAATACAAAAATCAAAAGAAAAAAACAAACAAACAAAGCAAAAAACCTTAGATTAACATTTTGGGAGGTGCCACTATGGAAGTCGAGCTTCTTAAAACATTCCTTCTGGTATGTGGAAAGGATTCTCAACTGAAATCGTTTCTCTTAGACATCAAACGTCTCTATGAACTTGCTGATAATTGGAACGGATTCGAAATCTAAAAGCACAGGCCAAATTAAAGATTTCTATTAAATAAATAAATAAATATCCCGTGAAGCACTGGTGGTTCAGTGGTAGAATTCTCGCCTGCCACGCGGGAGGCCCGGGTTCGATTCCCGGCCAGTGCAAAATTTTGGAGTTAGTCAGAAGGTATTATTGCGGTCAAAATTTAGCTCCTGTTTTTCGAAAAATTTTCTATTTCATAACCGTTGAATGATCAATGTCGAGGAGGTCAGAGCTACAAACCTTTCCAGAAAATCTTTGCAGGTCATTGTAAAAGACCTGTCGTATCTGTACATATTGAACAGCCACGGGCAAACTTTCAGCCAAGTTTTTGCTACTGTTTACTATTTATATGGTAACTGGGAAAGAAGAAGTGTGAGGGGAACGTGTTTTTCGAAACAACAACAAAGCTTCGAGCCATGGGCTTTAACTTTACGTCTGCTTGGTTGAGAGAGGCACAAGTTTTTGTCTTCAAATCACGTTCGTGTAAAAGGTTAAAACTAAATAATACAATCCAGGACAGATGTCCACACTCAATATTACATTTTATTTAATATGATGCTGTGTCTTCAGGAATTTGGACTGGACATGTTCTTCCGCCAACGTTGGCAAGACAAGAGGCTCAGTCATAATATGACAACGATGATGACCCTTACAATGGGGACGAAACACCCAGCAGACTACATCTGGGTTCCAGACACAATGTTTGTAGACGCTACTAAATCTTACATGCACAATGTCCTTGCTACAAATCACAAAGTGGATATTTCTGCAAAAGGAGAGGTAAACTGGGGAACAAGGTATGTCCTGTGTAACTTTACATGAATATGCCTCTTTTCAAGAGCGAGAGCTCACTCATTCTAGCGCTACCTGGCATGGCACTGTTGATCTCTGGTTGAAATTGTAATTCAGATAATGAAATACTACGCCGTAATGATAATTTTAAAGCTACTAGGTTCCTTCTTGGGCATATTTCAGTTCCAGAATCGACGTCTTTTGTGCCTCCACACCTTTACAATACGAACTGAAATGTTGAAAAAAGAATGAAAAGAAAAAGGACTGTTTATGGAGACGCATTGACTTAGCGGTTAACACGTTGGACTCTAGGCCGAGAAGTCCTGGTTCGAGACTTAGTCACTGTACTTCCGAAGTGCTTCTCTTTTATTTGGAGTATAAATGGTCATAAATGGATTCACTAACGAACTGTCATGGAAAGCTGACGAAATACCTGGGGGAACCTGCCATGAACTAGCATCTCATCTAAGGGGGAGATATAACACTTCCAGTGACCTTATGTTACGGACCTTATGCCACGGAAACCGGGTGAAGCTAATATGATCATGAACCAAAAAATGTATCCATCGCCATTCAAAGCAGGTTTTTCGAACTGGGCAAGAATGGTGGCCCCTCTGTCTTTATTGAAATTTTCTTGTTTAGCGGTTGGATGGAATAAGTTGTTCTCATTCAGTGAAAGCTACTAGGTACCCAATCGAATCCCACCACCTGGCATGGAAATATGACAAAGATGACAGATCTGACGCTTTTCTTGTCCTCTTTTATTTCAGAGCAACTCTGACAGCAAGGTGCCACATGAATTTCCGTACATTTCCCATGGATGAACAAACTTGCTCCCTAAGTATTGTGAGCTGTAAGTGCTCCACAGTTTTTACAATTATTGGCAGTGTGCGCGACTGACAAGAAAACAGGAGTAGATTGGAATGCGAGGACCCCATGATGGGGTAAACTTTCCCCAGCTTTCCCATCGAACCAAATTGGACAGAAAACCTGAAATTACGTAAAATCGGTGGTTTGACTCAGTAACATCGTTTTGTTTTTGTTTTTGTTTTTGTTTTTTTGTTTTTCCTTTTTTCTTCGATGCTACCTCACTAAATATCGTAGACTGTGGAATATGAGCTTCAAACCTTTCTGAAATGAAAACGGATCAGGCTACGAACAAGGACGTCTTTCCGTATAATAATAATTTTCATAACTAAATTGCATTTTTACAGATGCCTATCCTACGAACCATCTAATTTTCACCTGGAAGTCCAACCCAGGGGTCATTGTCTTGGACAAGGAAATGGCGCAGTTTTACATGACGAACATGACTACTGCTGAACAACGAGTCCAATACGTTGCTGGTAAGTCAAGTCATTAGGCACATCGAAGCCGTTCGGGTGTGCATGCGCGCTCGTCGCCGGTGTTTGCTCCCTTTCAAAGCTTTTTTTGTAACTTACACAAAACTTTAGGAAAATCCGAAAATAAACCTGTGGTGGTATATTATCATGGAGCATTTCTAAATTTATAGGAATATTTCCATCTCGACGTTCTAACATACATCTCATCCAGTGAATAATTTTTCGTAAGCAACATGAAACAGGGGGAGTTCTAGAACTCGGCTTCACACATAAGAATGCCAGGATATAGTCATTATTACCGGGTGGCCGGTAAGGCGAAACTTAGTTTAGTTTTGTTAAAATAACGCTAAAGAAACCGCAACAGACAAAGTAATACATCACATAAAAAACAGGTAAAATGTGCGAAGCCCGGGAAAACGCGATTGACTCACGAGTCGCAATTGGTTTTACTCGTTCTTAATCCGATTGGTCGAGAAGGTAGAGCAAGAAGTTTAGACCAATCGTAGAGAGAGAAGCAATCTTGACCTACTTTTCTCCCTTGACAAGTTATCTAATTTCATGAATTCATTTTTCTATTCCAACCAGGGGAGTATTCAGTTCTTCAGGCGACTTTCACATTTAAAAGAAGGATGGGTTTTTACTTGATACAGATTTACGTCCCTTGTATAGCAGTGGTGTTTGTGGCCTGGATGTCCCTATTCGTCGACAGCAAAGCCACCCCCGCCCGGGTGGGGTTGTGTATCACGACTCTTTTGACGGTCGCTACCATCTGGGGCTCTGTCAACTCCACTATGCCAAGAGTTTCGTATGTGAAAGCTATCGACATCTATCTCATGACATCTTTCTTCTTCGTTCTGTGCACCATGTTGGAGTACATTATCTTGATACACAAGGGAAGGGCAAAGGTATTGAAAAGGCACTCATACTAAGCTCGTTTTACTACTACGCACGTTGATGGCATGAATGTGCGCGATAGATCATAACATAAGGAATTTTTTTAAGCACCGCGTTAATATCTTATCGACAATTATTTCTTACCTCAGGTGTGCGTTCATTGAGATTTGAAGCGTCTAATAGGTTTGGAGAGCACTCATATAAATCTTTCAACTCTAGAAGGTTAGCGTGTTATTATCGAAAGTAAAGTTTTGCATTGAAATTTTCTCTATCTAATATTTCCAGAGGAGTATTTTATTGCTCAAGGCACCATTTCTACAGAAGGATAATCTGCAAGAAACTTACTGCAATTTGACAAGCGATTACTCGTGCTATAGAGGTGGGCTGTATTCGATGGAAGAAGCACAGACTCACTCGCCATGCAAAGAGTCTCCAAAGGATACTTCATCGCCACCAGACAGCAAAGAAATCAATTCCAAAGACGTGGAAATTATAGCGAGGATAGCTTTCGTCATTGCTTTCACAATTTTTAATCTGGTTTATTGGATTGTCTTGGTGTATTTTGTATGAGTGGAGAACAAGTTTTCATGCCTTGGAAGTAAGGGCTTGGTTTGCGGATAGAAATCTTCTCTTTTATCACTTTTACCAGCTCACACTTACCGACCAATTTTTCACGCGCGAAGAAATATTCGGAGTCACCCCAGCCATAACAATAAATTGAAAGTGTAAAAAGAAAGGAAGCCCGAAAAACAAACCAACAAAAGATCGGTCTTTGTCTATGATCGTACATCTCCCGAAATATCCGATTTCAGAGAGGAAACCACCAGAGAGGTAGCTGTGTCAGAACTTCAAAGATATCTTCGGAACTTCCTCGGGCTTCTTCGGAAAGGATCGGGTTGTATCAAATCAACTTAAAATGAGCTAATGAAGATAAGCAAATGATTCCTATAACTGTATAAATGTGTAATAACTAGGTCACTAAGCTGAGTGAACGGTGGCTTGACGTAGGCCTCGCGGAATGTTAAGCTCTTAAGTCGTGCTAGTAAAACTTTTTATGATATCATTTGACTATGACTTATTTCGCTTTTGTAACGTGAAGGTTTAGTAAAATTTTCTCTACCATAATAATAGAAGGGTTTATTAAAAGTATTCAAAAATAGCACCCCCACATGTGAATTTACAAGGTGATATTTATAAAAATCTTACATTTGACTTTTTAAGGGGACAAAGAGTCAGTAGTTATATACCAATTTCAACTGGGCGTTAGACGCCATTGTTGGAAAAAAGATTTTTTAAATCTTTCGGTCCGGCATTCGGCGCAGATATGATTCCCAAACTTTGCAGAGCGTCTGCGCGAAATGATTTAATATACGCCCACACACGCGAGTTCTGAACTTTCGATCATGTCCTTGAGGTAAATTGGTAGGCTAGTAGACCAAGTGACGCAGGCGTATTCGAGGACCGATCGTACCAAGGCATAAAATATGTTAATAAGGTCTTCGGGTGGAATTCGCGAGCACGCGTTTTGAGGCTTTGGAGACAATCTCACGCACGTGCTCATTCTGCTTTTCGCGTGCACGTCCATTGACTCGCGCCGTCTCCTTGACTTCTTTGTTGAGGTTCATATTATTGCGCGACGAGCGCGTCAGGCGATGTATGGGGATGACATATTGTTAGAACAATTCATGTTAAATTTCAATCGGAATCGTTAATCATCAGGAGGAACAGGATGGGGCCAAGCTTAGTGCCCTGCGGGACTCCAGCGTACCATGAGATAAAGACTTTTTCAACCCCTAATTTCGATGAACCGCTGAAAAAAGAAAGGTTTTGATGTTTATTTAGACATATCTTCATATTATTTCTAGAATTTTGTTATTGTTTTGGACTGTATGTAGTCCTTAAAAATATTGATGTTTAGAATAGCTTCATATTATTTCTAGAACTTTATTATTGTTTACTGTAGTAGAAATAAAAAAGTAAATAAAAATAGCCTTTTGAAAAAAATTAGCTCTTCCAGCTAACCATAGCTTGTTTGAAAGTTAGCGTAATTGTAATTCAGGCAGGAAGCGTGACATTCGAAATCATCATGTTTCCAAGTGGTTACCACCTGACATAAGTTATTTAAGTCCGTATTTGAGTTACGTGACCCACCCAGCCAGAGCTTATCCTGGTTTCTATGGCGACTAACAGTATTACTACTCCCCTCTGGATGGGATGTCAGTCCAACGCAAGGTAACCTCCCAACATTTCATTAGGTTTTCCTGATAATTTGCCGGTAACCGTACCGGACACGCACCCGTACCGAACACGCACCCGTACCGTGCCTCTCTCCTGGATGGGTGCACTGTGAGAACAAAATGTCTTTCCCAAGAACTCGACAAAATGACCCGGCCAATTCTCAAACTAGAACCTCTCAACCAACAGCCCAGCGCACTGACCATCACCCAAAATGAGGTACTAAAACAAAATATGGGGAAGCATCAAATAAATACTTGACTATTCGATTTTGTATTCAGATAAAAAGTACTGGTCGACTTGTCGTTCTGAAGAATGCAGTCAGTGTAATGCACTCGTACGTTTGGCTGGTAGTACTACATATAGCATCGCGCCCTACCCTATCTGCTATATTTCTATTTCCCTTCGAAATATTTTTTTGAATGAAATGACAAACTAGTGAGAAGCACTGCATGAACTAAAATGGCTAAAACTTTTTTCAATCTCCCACGCGTCTCGTCTGAAAATAAAAAACTTCATCAAGGTTTTACGAGAAGGGTAATAAAGATTGCTTATGCACAAATAACTGCTTATTTTCGACCTTAATGTTTAGTGTGAAGCAAGCGGAAAGTATTTGCAAGGTATGAGTGAGGTGTTGTGTATGCGTGCAATTTTCGGACATTACATGCACGGATACGTCATGGATTAAGGGGTCACTGAGTAAATTCACACCAGACTTTGCGAATACCTTCCGCTTGCTTCACACCATGCGTTTAAGTCGAAAATAGATGTAAGAAAAAAGCTTTTTACCTTACTTGGAGTTTGTTATTGTCAGAAGAACTGCGTTGGAGATTAAAACAAAGTTTTACCATTAAAGTTCGTTCAATGCTGCTCATTAGTTCATCACCTAATTAAATTTTGTTGAAAGGCGTGCGGACTTCATCCCTAATCCGTGGCACATGACGAAATATCGTGTTGAGTCTCGTGACAAACAACTATTCGAGGTCGGTCAGCGGTGAGTTGGTCAGGACGGACGTTACTTTACGAGCTCCGCTAATCTTAATCAAGTTTGGATAATTTTTCGTTTCGTTTTGGATAATTTTTCGTTTCTTTTTTCACGATCGTTTTTCTTTTTTTGCTTTCTGAGAGATTCAAGAATGCCCGAGTCTGTTGCTAGCCTTAAGAGAGAGAACAGTAAGCTTAAAGATCAACTGTCTGTCATGGCGGATGAGATTGCTAAGATGAAGGTGATGCTGCTGGAGCAGTCAAAAAAACCTGCAGCGACTAATGACGAAGTAGAGCAAAGCTTAGAATTCATGAGTAAAGAATATGATGACTTTGAGCGATTCAGGGTCTCTGCTGGTAAAGAACTTGATCGCTTAGGTGCCATGCTTGATGAGATTGCTGTTGAAGTTAACAGAGTTTCCAGGAGCATCGATGAATTTCAAGAGTACAGTTATCAATATAATGTTAAGATTGTTGGTGTCCCTCAATTGAGTCAAGATGAATCCTCGGCTTCTACGAGTGCGCTATGTGAATGTTTATTTAAGGCAATTGGATCCGCTGTATCAATTCATGACATTGACACAGCCCATCGAGTCCCAACGAGAAGCAATGACAATGGCGGCCCGCGGCCAATCATTTGCCGATTTATTAGACGATTGTCAAAAGATGATGTCATGAATCATAAAAGAAATGCAAGTAAAGTTGCCCCATCTGCTGTTGGTTTACCTGACGATGCCTCCCTTTCCGCTGTTAGAATTTTTGACCATTTAACGCCAAGGATGCAAAAGGTTTTATTTGAAGCTAAGAGGTTCAAGGAGCAGTTTCACTATCAGTATTGCTGGTCGAAGGGATCGCTTGTTTATCTTCGTAAAGATACCACGTCTCGAGCCATCAAGATTAAGGATATCACGGACCTGCACCGATTAACGAATGGACGTGAAGGCTAAGTATTCATGTTGATGTAGAGTTGTTTGTCTGTTTTTAGATAATAAGTATGAGTGTTAGCAAGAAACGTGTTCGTTGTACAATTAAATCTACCCTAAGCGAACTTCCATACGCGAATGTTGAAATTATTAGAGCTCATGGACAGTTTAATAACATTCTCAACAGTGACTTACCGACCAAGAAGTACTTAGACAAACTTCATAGTATTTATGATTTAGATTTGTTTCGCTTAAATACCGAATCAACATTAAATCCCGACAGAAACTTAAGCATGCAACAAATTAGATGTAAATATTTCTCACCCTATAGTTTTTCTATGTTTAAAGAGTCTTTGTTGGAATCAGATAGTCAATGTCCTTTCTCTATGCTTCATACTAACGTAAGAAGTTTGCGGAAAAACATTGATAATTTTCAAGTCCATCTTTTAGATGAACTTGACTACCAATTCAGTGTAATCGGTATTACAGAAACAAAAATTACAAATTCATCTGGGCTAGATTTCAATGCCTGCATACCAAACTATCAGTTTGAATATGTCCCAACACCTCTATCATGTGGAGGTGTTGGAATGTACATTAATAATTGTTTGAAATATAAGGTTCTGGAGAGAACATCTAAAGACGCTTTTCAGGCTTTATGGATCGAAATTGAATCCCTAAAGAGTAAAAATATCGTTTGTGGAGTGATTTATAGGCAGCATAATGATCCGGAACAATTCCTCCAATATGTTGACTTTACTTTAGAAAAACTTAGCTCCTCTGATAAAGTTGTTTATCTTATGGGCGATTTCAATATTGATCTCCTCAAATCTGAAATTTCCGATTACTCCCAAAATTTTTTGTTATCTTTACAATGTTATTCGTTCTTCCCGGTAATTGATAAACCAACTAGAGTCTACAATAATTCTGCCACACTCATTGATAATATATTTCTGAATAGATTTGATCATAAAATTTCAGGTGGAAATATCGTGTCAGACATTAGTGATCACTACTCCCAATTTTGTTTTATCCACAGTCTTATACCAAAAAATTTTACTGCTAAACATAAAATTCGCGATTATTCCAACTTCTCTGAAGAATGCTTTATTAATGATGTCTTGGATACTGATTGGGATAACTCAATGACATATGGATCTGTAGACAAATGCTTTTCTTCCTTTTACAATAAATTTAACAAGCTCATTAATAAACACGCTCCTCTCAAAATTTTATCTAGGCGCAAGGCTAAACAATTTTCCAAACCGTGGATAACTAAGGGCCTACGTAAATCTATCAAAATAAAGAATAGACTCTTTTATTCAGGAGATATCTCAAAATATAAGCTGTATAGGAATAGAATTGTTAGTCTTTCTCGTCTCAGTAAAAGATTGTATTATGAAGCTTACTTCACTACAAATCTAAGAAATGTTAAAAAAACGTGGGAGGGGATTAATGAACTATTGAACAGACAGCGTAACAGAAAAACAGTATCAGCCCTTCAACGCTCTAACAACTCTGGAGTAACACAAAATCCGTCTGAAATAACCAATATCTTTAATCAGTACTTTGCGTCTATTGGACCGCGGCTTGCACGCAATATATCACCTTCCAGGATAAATTTCCAGGACTACCTTGTCGGCACTAATCACTTTAAGTCTTTCTTTTTTGATCCCGTCGTTCCATCCGAGGTGGACTTGGAAATCTTGGCTATACCCAGTAATAAAGTATATGGCCTATATTCTTGCCCGGTTCATCTTCTAAAATCTGGGCGCCATATCCTTTCTCCACTCTTAGCTGCCATGATGAATAAGTCTATCTCAACGGGTATTTATCCCCATCTTTTGAAGCATGCCAAAGTAATTCCTATCTACAAATCGGGAGACGAAACTGATCCATGTAATTACCGCCCAATTTCCCTCCTTTCTGTCTTCAATCGATTATTTGAGAAATTGATGGCTAAACGTCTTAAATCACATTGCGAAAAAAACGGTATCTTTTTTACTTCTCAATATGGATTTAGAGACAAGTGTTCAACCCAACATGCAATTTTAGATATCTTAAGCAAAATTCAAACTAATATTGATGCAAAGTTATTCTCTTGTGGTATTTTTATTGACCTAAAAAAGGCTTTTGATACGGTGGATCACTCAATCTTACTGCACAAATTATATCATTATGGAGTCAGAGGAATAATTAATAACTGGTTCTCTTCGTACTTGTTGAACAGGAACCAGTCGACTCAAATTGGTTCAACCGTGTCGAATATAGAAGAGATAGTTTGTGGTGTCCCTCAAGGGTCTGTACTTGGCCCCCTTCTCTTTTTGATTTATGTTAACGACATTTACCGTTGCTCCCAGATTTTTGAGTTTTACCTATTTGCTGACGATACTAACTTGCTTTATTCAAACAAAGATCTTAAGGATCTTGAAAAAGTTGTTAATGATGAACTCGCAAAAGTGGGTGACTGGTTGGACGCAAACAAACTTTCTCTTAACACTAGTAAATCTAACTTTGTTATTTTCCATCCTTACCAACGCAAATTGGACTACATAGTTCACTTGAAAATTTATAATAACGATCTTAAAAAAAGTGTATCTCTAGAACAAAAAACTTTTGTGAAATATCTAGGAATTCTGATAGATAATAACCTCTCTTGGAAGTATCATATTGATTATATCTCATCTAAAGTTAGTAAAGGAATTGGTATAATTGCCAGGTTAAGACATCTTGTCCCATTTGCCACACTTCTTAACATCTACCGCTCCTTAATTGAACCCTATATCTCTTATGGTCTTATTGCCTGGGGACAAGCTGCTAACACTCATTTAAATAAGGTTCTCATTTTACAAAAACGTGCTCTACGACTAATGTATTTTGCGGATAGCAAATCTCATAGTGCCCCGCTATTTGTTAACTCCAGAATCTTACCAATAACTATGCTCTATTCTCATTTGGTTTCCTCTTTGATGCATGACATTGATAATCACCGTGCCCCGTCTAATATTTCTATGCTCTTTATCCACTCCGAGCAGGTTCATCACCATTTCACAAGATTCTCAGCAACGGCTAATCTGTACGTTAAAGCGTCTAGAACTAACCAACTTTTATTTTCTTTTGCTAGAATAGGTGTAAGATTGTGGAATAGCATCCCAAAAGAACTTCGTATTAAAAACAGAACCCCGTTTAAGCGTGAACTTAAAAATCGCCTGTTAAAACTTTTGGAAAATGAGGAGATGAATGTTGATATACGCTGCTCAGAAATTTGTAAATATCTCTTGATAAAGTAACTCTTCGTTTAAGTCTTGTTTCAATTGTATTATATATCTTGATAACTTTGCAATTGATTATTTAATTATTCAACGGACTTAATTTTATTTTATTTTATTTAACAATTGTATTTTTATTAATGATTATCTTTGTTTAATTGTATCGGTATGTGATCCTTAGCAGAGACAGCACTTGTTTTAGAAGGGTGGCCCGCCTAGAATAGCTTGCTAATTGCGGGTCACCTAGGACTGTGATAATATTGTATTGCTAACAAATAAAATTGAATTGAATTGAATTGAATTGAATTGAAATTATAAGTGACACGTGACAGCTGACCTCATTAAGACTTACCGTAGACTCACCGTGGGCTTCCCGAACTCCTGGGAAAGATCGAAGGAAGCAAGGCGGTGTGAGAAAAAAAAGTGACTGCGTTTGTCCTTGAGAACCAAAGAATACGCGACAACTACGTACAAAAAATACTTTCACACATTCAGAATAAATCAAATCGCATTTACCTATGGTCAAAGGAAAAAGGAACGGCCTAACTTTTATGGAATGTTCAGTCAAAGTCTGCCGATTTCTGCCACTTTCACCGCTATGTTGAAAATGAAGATACCATAATGCAACGTAATCGGAGTGCGCACACTGCCTGGGGTGCAAATGACTCCCTCTTCGTTGTACGATCATTATGCAATGCAATCAGAGTGTGCCCACCACCTGCGAAAGAAGGAAGTCCATATGTATATCGTCAGTTTCTAAAGACAAGAAGTGATTACGACACCTCATTGGCAGAAATATTGGACAAGATGGCGGCCGCGCTTGCGCATTTCGTCCATAATGGCGTCCAAATAATATAAGAAACTGTATGGAAATGTATAAAATTTCTAAAATGTAACAATCAGGAGCTCATGGTCCCGTCTGCTCTCGATCGAGACATATTCAGTACTGATTCTGCTATCCATCAACCCTCACAGTGTCTCGATAAATAAAAACCACTCACTTCCCGAGCCAGTTCTTTTGTCATTGTTTATTGACCTAGGTCGCCATATAGTTCTTCAAAATCCGTCGTTCTCCATCCCAAACACTCGCCTATTACAGGAAAGTGCATCAATGAAGTCAACTGATCTCGATCGAATTGACTGCTACTGAGTTCGAAGCGTCAAACTATCCTGTAAAATTATCATTTCCTCTCATCAAAAAACTTCCCAACGCGCCAGAATATCCCTTATTTTCCTTGTTGAGTAAGTGACGAGACGCCATGTTGAAAACTATTACTGAAATGATTAAACACGAGCAACGCTGATCTTCGAATCATCGGCCATATTTGTTGATGTTCTTGCTGGGAAATAAATTCTCAGGTCCTTTTCGGAATAAAAATATGCCAGGCGTTAAATGCAAATTCAGTAGTCTTGGTGCGAAAATTTAATAAAAGCAAATCAAAATTCTGACATCAAGTCATCGCTCTGCCTGCGGTTTTTTCCCCATCGATGTGTCTATTTCCAAGTTTTAAAGAAGCCGATAATTTTTATCAAAATGTCAGGCATACGGAGACAGATTTGATTTGATGTTTTGCTTTCATGGTCGGATTTATTTTTAAAACAAATGCAAATTTAACCTACGCCAAACAGAAAAAGAAATCAATGCAATTTTAAGTAAGGACATTCTTGCAAATTCCAGGCTGGCGAAATATAACTGTTCCATCAGGGAAACCATAACTATTAAATAAGCGGTTTTGACTCATCTCAATCGGATAGAGTGGAAGTACAGACAAGGGAATTTCCCTCAGATTCCATAATCATAACATTGTCTACCTGTTCCGGAATAAATGTACATGCAAATTTTCTCTTTTGGACAGGCACTCACCTTTGCGAGCTTTTATGTGGCGAAAGTGATGATTATAAATTTCAAAGGTTTATAAACCTCCGAGCTGTTGAAAGAAATTTCGCTTAAAAGCCGAAATCTCTTTTCTCTACCCACCCCCCCTCCCCCTCCCCCGCCACCCTTTTGAAAGTCCGGGGCTTTAAGGGGGGTTCCCATACCTGACTCAGCGTCGTATTATCTGCGATCTTAATATATCACGTACTAAGGGACCAGTGTTCCTGTAACTGCTTCGACTCTGCTAATTCTACACGCTACATTAAACAGAATGAAAACCATGAACTAAAAAAGGGCATTTACGCTAGTAGAAGGTAAGAATACTTTTCAAGATGGCGGTTGTTATTTGAGCCTCCTTCGAAGGTCGCTTAGCCCCAACAAAGCTAAGATTTTAAAATTTTACGGTTAAATTAACACGACTGGTTTATGAGACTTGATTCAAAATTCTTACCACTTGAAATCCATGCTATCATACAAGTCCGTTGACCTAGTTGCATGACCAAAACAAGCATCACACTCGTTTCAGTGGGAACTAACGGACTGAAAGAATGATTGATATCGTTAAAAATCCCGGATATTTCGGTTTTACAAATATCCTATGACTCATCCCTCGGTGGAACTGGCATGTTCAGGCGAAAAAGTGTCTAAGCTATATTCTCGAAACTACAATGTCAGGAAAAAGAAAGAGATCAAATGAATCTACCAACAGAGGTCTCTTTGTGTGACTCTAGCAACTGCTATCTTTATAACAGTTTACAAGTCGTATTTGTCTTAAGTAAATTGGTCTGGTTTTTATAAAATTTGGTATCAGTTGTGAATATTTTGGAAGGTGCTAGTGGGTCATTGGTATATATAATTAGTCATTTTTAAACTGAAATGTAGTCAACATGATGTCATCATGAACTGTTTAAATATTTCAGTTCTCTGTTTTAATTTTTGTAAGATTCTGAAACAGGCATGATTCTGAAATATTTGATAAATGATCTTCTGAATAACCACAGAACCTTTTGAATTCAGCTAGACATACACTACACAGTGCATATGGTGAATACATCGAACCATTAGTGAGATCCTCAAGAAGTTTATTCTAAATTAACATATAATTGATATAGCAGTATTTTTATTTTAACACAATGGAGGTGATCATTAGAGTCAGGGAGGTAAGAATTTTTGATGCCATTGGAATGGGGAATCCTCGGTTTACTGTTATTTGTCTTTTACCAAATAGCTTGATAGCAAACCAAACCATTTCAAGTCGTCACTTGGTACCACTTTTCTAAGTTCTCTCTTCTATGGATTCATTTGAATTTGTCATTTGAAATGTTCCATACAACAAGAGAAAAGTGTAAAGTAACAGAAATATTCCAAAGATTTGATCAAAAAATATCTATGTGGGAAAATTCTCTCATTTGCAAAATATTGATTATTGTGTTTGTTTTATTTAATAAATCATATTTCTCTGTGAGAATATTAGATGAAATGGAAAACTGTTCTTTGCAGGTATTTAACCATCAACATAATTATATTGAACAACGTGGAAAGATGCTCTCCCCACTTCATGAACATCCCCTGGAGCAGGTCAATCCTATGGAAGTGTATAGACCATATGGAGGACGGTGGAAGTGTGACAACTGCAATTCTGAGAGTGGTGGGATGAACCCTTTTCCCTTCCACTGTAGACTGTGTTCTTTCGACCTGTGCTATTCTTGTATGAACATACAGCATCAGGCAAGCAACTTGATCCATCGGCATCAGCTGTATTACATGGAGACCAGTCGACTATGTTATCAAAATCAGGACGGAATTTGGCGGTGCGATGTTTGTAAAAAGACAAGTGATGCACTGAGAGAAACATTCTCATACCACTGCCCAAATTGTGAGGACTTTGATGTTTGCCGCAGCTGTTATGAGCCTAAGAGGCATCCTATCCATATTCATGAGCTTAAAGTGGTTGACACGTCACTAATCTATTCTCAAACTGGTGGAAACTGGTTTTGTGACATCTGTGGGACCACGAGTAGGCCATATGAAAAGTAAGTGAAATTTTCTTTTGTGATATCCCATATCAAGTCTTTATACCTCACTAAGAAAAGTGGTTGAGAAAGGGTATTGCATTGATGTTTTGAGTAATGTTTTCCTTGTTTTCTTTCAGCTTCTCTCATCATTGTGGAGATTGTGAATTTGATGTGTGCCAAGAATGTTTTAGGCCGCATACTACACCTCTACATGAACACCCGCTATACAAGGCAGACTCACATCATGTGTATGCGCAATTCAGTGGTGGCTGGCGATGTGATCGTTGTGAATCCGTGCACAATAACCCCACGGATAACAAACCATGGCATTGCCAAACATGCGAATTTGATCTTTGTCATGACTGTATGAGTACAGCAATTGAAGGTAAGAATTCATATCCAGTAGGAACAGGTCAGAAACAATTTTACTGCCAGGCCTAGATGCCCTTATACAGGAAACAAGTGAATTTCTGCTTCAGTCAAATGGCTCTCACTGCTACAGTAGAGCCTTTGTTATCATCCCAGTTGTAGCAGTATAGGATGATAGGGAGTAATTCTCCCCTCCCCTCCCCTCCCCTCCCCTCCCTAACCCCCACCTCTGGATGGGATGGCAGGCCAGTCCAGTCCAGGGTTATTTCTTTTCACTTAAAATCAGTTTGTATTTTCTCCATACTGTCCTTCATACAGTTCTTATGGTACTGACAGGAGAATTTATTAAGTACCAATCAAGATCCTCAACACTGGGTGATCATGTGCTTTCTTCTCATTGCATTGATGTTTAATTCAGGGGTGATATGGTAGAGAGAAAATAGATGCAGGTCACTATAAGATGTCAAAGGGTTAAGTAGCCCCAGCATTTCAAAACAGAAGGTCCCCATGACATTTGCCAGGACTTGAAACATTCCTGTGTGGAGATAGGCATTGAAAGTCATACTGTGCATGTAACTTTTTCTCTGATTTTCCTCATGTCTTTTTCACTTGAGTTTTCTGACAATTTCTTTTTGCGTGTGGTTATTTAGCTGCCGATCAAACAGGCCCATCACCAGGACATGTAGGCAGAAATAGGGGATTTGCCCTGCTCAGAACAGGTTTGTATACACTCAGTTAGTATAACCTAACACCTGTGGTCCTATTGAAGTTCAAGTCAGACTTGTTTTGATGACTGTCTTTTGATGACTGTCTTCTAGGCAATGGCACATGTACATACTGAGACTTCCTTCAATTTCATGTCCTCATAACCAAGCGATTGATTTTGTTATGTCTCCCATACTGATTTCTGGTAATCAGTTATACTCCTGGCTCTAGAGAGGCATTATGAGGATGGAATGTCTTGCTCAAGAGCTCCAAACAGTACCTACTTAGGGTCTCCATCTGTCAAGCTGGGGGGTGACTTACCACTTCACCTTTTTTCCTCCCACAGCCTAAATGTTCAGGAAATTTTGTATGTTTCATTCAAGATCATTAACTCATAAATCTACTTTTTGAAGGGCGGCAACCACAAGAGAACCCTTGGGTTGTTAGAAATCGCTTGACACCAACACCAAACAGTGAGTCTGCCTCACCGTTACCATTTGTGACAGAGAAAGGCAACACTCTTGCTTCTCCAGAAGACACAGATGACAATTCCAAGTGCATCATTTGCATGGAACAACCCAAAAATGCTACAGTCATACATGGTGACACAGGACACTGCTGTTGTTGCTATGCCTGTGCGCAAGTGCTCAAACAAAGGGGGGACCCTTGCCCGATTTGCAGGGCCCCTATTGATCATGTGATCAGGCAGTTTAATGCTTGAGGTGAAGTACCATGCAAGGTCAGCTGAAGAGTAACCTAAGTAGAAATACATTTTGATCATCAAATAACCACTTAGTGACAATAAGTCTGGGGGTTGTAGATGAAGATTAGTTTAATGTCGTGTAACTGATATCATTTTATTTCATGTGCCACTTTTCATGTCTCTTTTCCTGATTAAAGCACCATGAAGGGTATATAAGACATTTTCTAGGTGCACATTTGAGAGAACCATCAAATAGCATTCCACCGAGTACAAGTAAACACAAAATAAAGTCAGATATGAAGATAAAATTCTTAGTTAAGACTTGAAAAAAAAAAAACTAAAATTTTGTTACTTTTTTTTTTGCCTAATTTAACCTTTTAAAAAAAAGGTAGGGTCAGTTTTAGGGTATCAATGAGGGTGAAATCTCTAAATTAAACAGATAATTTTACGCTTAAACATAAGCCTTTCTAATTATAGTATCTTGATTTTGGCTTCAAAGGGAAGTATAGCCAAAGTTTAAAATCTTATCTAATGTAAGGATTTTAAAGGAAACGACATTAAAACCAAAGAACAATGATATCAACTACTCGTCCTGAGTTTTGCACCTGCACAAGGCATGGTTTCTCTGCTCGAAGTAGCTCATCGGTTTTGCGGAAGAAAAAAAAAGCTGGCTACTCACAAAGTATGCTGTACTGCATATTTATGCTCTCTGGCAGCTTACATCAACTGGCTAAATACCAATTTCTTGTTTGGTTTGCTTGTTTGTAAAACGCAAGGGTCGCTTCTAAAATGCAAATAACACTGAGACATGTACTTTTTCAGTATTCCCTGATAATTTGCTGTTACAATGTATACAGTTATATTCCTGGGTGGCCAGAGAGCCCCTGTGAGAGTAGTGTCGTCATCCTTTCCTATTCGAGTGATTATACAAATGTATCTACATTTACCAGGTAGTTTCATAGTGTCTTTCAAATGTAGTTTATAGTTAACAGTTATTAGCAGAAGTGGAGGTGATTTGGGTTGATGTTTACTTAGCCACAAAGGTGAATAACTCTGAATAACTGTTTGAGTATATACCACACAGAAATCAAAATTTGGTCAAAATTACAAAAAATGGTTGGGACTTAAACTCTTGACGTGAGATTTTTTTAATTACTTCCAAACTAGCGAATCAGCGCGTGCGAAAAGGATTAATCACCTATGTGACATATACGAAAGCATAATATTACATCATATCTCTAAAATAATTGGATTATCGTAAGCAGAGATTAAAGCAGGCTGGTGTAGTCTGGAAAAAACGCGTGAAGCATTTAAAAAAACATTTACCCGTGTTGCAACGAAATGATTTAAATCACTTTAAGATAATCTTACGAATTTTTTCGAACTTTTGGATTTCACATTTTTATAAGCAGGTTTAGTTCAGTTTCTTCTATCTCCTTTGCACAAAGATTAAGGCAATTGTATGTGTTTAAGTAAAAGGTTAGATGTTGACAATTCCTTTAAATCTCCAGATTTAAGGTAATAATTAACAAATATTCACGTCAGTATTGGTGGTCAGTCGTCTTAGTATATACTTAAAGAGCGAGATAACATAGCACAAAAAAATGATTTTATAACATAGCTAGTAACTTTGTCTGATCAAATTCAGTTGCGCGAGCGTGCTTCATATTCCTATTGTGCACGCTCATGACGTCAGCAAACAAATCCTTCGACAAAAATTTTCCATCGGGTTGAAAATGGTTATAAAACAAGTGGTTCATACGTCAGCTGTGCGTTCATCGAGACATGAAGCACTTGGGAAGCAACTCTTGCGCATCTTTCGTGTTCTCCGGACTTCCCGCGTACTTCATATCTAGATGAACGCACGCTGACGTATGACCCAATTGTTAATTAACTAATTTATTTCTGCAACGATTACTATACTTTCGGTTTCCAAATCCCGCACGGGTTGCCACAGGAAGTTTAAGTAGCCAATCAGAGCGCTTTTAACGCCATCCACTGTTTTAGCACTTACTAATAGCTATTATCAATTCATTATTAATATCTATGACCGTTCCTTGAGTAGCTTAAGATTAATAGCTTAGGATTGATAAGTTGTCCATAATTTTTGGTGTTGACACTCCTGTTATGTAGTCACATTGTTATTTTTAAACTACTGTAATTATATGAAAGTCATATATTTGAACTGTGGATGAAGACGTGAATATGAAAGCGATCTTCGCATTACTAGTAATGAACGCTACTTGAGCAGGAGTGAAAAAAAAATTCAGGCCCGTACGGGATCCTGTACAGGCCTGAATTTTTTTCAGGCCTTATTTTCACCACTGCTCAAGTAGTGTTCATTACTGCGTAGATCATTTTCTATTCCCGTTGTTATTGTTATACAATGCCAGTAGCCCATCATCCAAGGGATGACAATTCATGTAACTGTTGTGACTGGTTAGAATAAATTTTACTGTTATCATACCTCAATATTTTGTTCTCTCAATTTGCGTGTCAAGTACTGTTAGGGGATTCCTAATAGTCTAACGCCCTTCATTCCCCAAGAAGTCTGCGCGTCAGTAATTTTCTAAGAGGGAGAGAGCGTTGGAATCGCAATCTATTGTTTTTAATCATTGATGAATTTTGGCAGCGTTATCTTTATGAAAAATCCTCAAAAAATATATATATTCTTTCATTACAGGGTCTAATCTTGAAGCTGGGACTGAACGTTCTTATCTTCATGTCTTTGTTTAAGTATATTTAATTATTTACACAATTACTTAAATATGTATGTAAGCATGTATCTTTTGGGCGATCATAGCCTGAAAACTTAAATATCCTGAAAGTGTTCAAGAGATTTTCTGGGAAACCTAGAAGTTGGTAGATTTTATTTAAGCTCTTGCTACAGACGAAGTTCAAAGGACAAAACAGCAATCTTAATGTTCTCAAATGACGTTTATCCAGAGGTAAGTGTGATGTTAGTAGGCTCTTTAATTTGGGTTGATCTCAACTCTTACATTATTATGAAAGAGATTCTTGAAGTTATGCGAGCGCACGGGAGCGAAAAAGAGAGTGAAAGTTATCTGAGGGTAACATGATATCTTCTTAATTTTCCTTGCTCTTCTACTGAAGCTAAGCCACGGATTGGCTCCTTTGCATCTCGTGAACGTGGCTACGGAAATCACAGTTGATTCAGACACTTGACGGGTGTCGGCGCTAAGTTGTTAATTGCTAATCGCGCCATCCCGAATTCACACAAGTGCTTGGACGTAGCTTTAGAGATAATCAATTCCAGATTAGTTTTCGACTTCGCAAGGTTTTCCTGATTTCCGGCGCGAAAGATTAAGGTAAAATGGTTTCAACTGCTGTCATCTTCAATCATTGTTTAAAAAAGTCGGAAAGATTTTAAGACACTTTGAGCTGTTTTGCTTCTCGTCCTACCCTTTTTGGCCCAATATTGTACAAAGCAGAATCATTTGAGTGCGTAACTGTTCTTGCTGGTTATATTTTAAGATAGACCGAAAAAGGAAAGACGAAGGCTATTTATGAGACGAAAAATCATATTTTTATTAAAATCAATAGCATCTGGATGATGTGAAACGCTGAAGCTCTTCTGTTACATAATCCTTCCTTCGCATTTGGATCGAAGCCTTACAAATAATTCAGTCCAGATCTGCGCTACTACTACTACTACTACTCAAGTTTTTTCGGATTTCCGGGGCGTTTGAGTCACGTAAATAATTTCGTCAGTTGTGGGTTTTTGAGCTGACAAAGAAACTGGGCATAAACTCAAACAGTATCCGGTGGAGTTTCCAGCGATTGTTATCAAGAACACTGTCACTCCATATAATAATATGAACTAGCAAACACTCAATCATACGTATTTGCACCCCATGTATAGAAAAAAACCTCTTTCTTGTGTGCGTTCTATAACGTATAATACATGAAATCATTTGATGAATCTTTGCTATCTTAATCTAATCAATACTGCTAACTCGTGTTTCTTGGTCAAACATGTACAGTTTGTTTTCGCATTATCGAAAAGTCCAGAAATATTTTAGCGGTTTATACTTGGTTCGATTTCAATTTGCAGTCAAGTTGCCAATGATATTACAAAGATATGTTGGCATCGACGCAAAAAAAAATCAACGTACTTCATACCGAAGCGAAAGTTACAATAAGTCAGTTTCATTTTAACAGTTCGACACAAATTTCCAAACTCAAGCCTTAGGAGTAACTTGGGAGTTGCATTAGATTTCTCTGACGTAAAAAGCTAACTGATTGAAAACACACCAGGCAATGTGGACAATTTGTGGGTTTTACAAAGACTTTCCCTTTTGGAAATAACTCAGTACATTCTATTCATTCCATCCCCGCTGGCATTTTAGTCGAGATGCAAGTAGCTAGTTATTGCAATCATCGCTCATTTATCCTTACTAAAGTCTATTGTCAAAACTTCTAAGATTTAAAGGTTGTTGTTGTTTTCATCTTTCCGTCCAAGGTCATATTAGCATTAAGGATTTTATGCCTGTTATGCGTAAGAGGTTTTAAATTAGTGCTATAATATACTGTCGATATCTTTTACCTGTCAGTATGTTGGTTGGGCTGTTAGCATCGCATCAGCAATTGTATTTTCGCCTTTAGATGCAATCTTTCAATTATTTGATATTCTATGACCCTCAAAACAATCGATATCGGGTACTTCAAAGTTGTTGTTCTACATCGCTACCTGACCAAAGATCGACTGAGATAAATGAGTATTTCAGACCACCTTGGAGAGATTATAAAACAGACCGCAAATATAGCTGTTTTATGGACAACACATGCACGCGCGTGCCGTAATAAAACCCACAGGAAGGCGATAATGAAAAAAACATCAACGCTGACCTCACTTGAGAGATCTGAAAAGACCTGCTTATGACAAACTTCCGTCAAATTTCCATAACGAAACCAAGTGAAGTAGGCAAATTTCATCAGTCAGCATCTTGACGCCACGACAGACACTAGCAAACTAAAAATTTGCCCAAGTTATTATTTTGAAATTTTATTTATTGATTGCATCATGTCCACAAGACAGGCTGCAAGATCACGAAATTTAAAAGGAAAAGAAGCTCTGTTGGAATGGTGTAAGCAACAAACGTACGGTTACAAAGGCGTGAGCGTGCGTAATTTAAACTCTTCGTGGAGGGATGGCTTGGCATTTTGCGCGCTCTTACACAGATTCGATCCCGAACTGATGTAGGTATTCAAAATGATTGCACTCGACTCTCTCTCTTGATGTCTCCCTCTTTCTCGATCTCTCGCTATCTTTCTCTGTCCCTCTCTGTTTTCACCCTAGCGAGCAACAAAAGGTTGTTTATGGCTGAGACAGTCGAAGAAAGTCTACACAAATAACAGTATTTTTTTCGAAATTGAAAACAAAGGTTTCACTCAGGGAAAGGGAAGTTGGGGTTTTTTACCACACCGAGGTAAATTTTTGGTCATTACAATTTTAAAATGCCACTATCCGCAGTATTTGCTACAATAATTAACTTCTGATATTTTGTGAGAAACTAAGACAATGACGCAGTGATATTTTAAGTGAAGACAGAGGAGATTCGTGAAAACTGCAGTAACTTGTAACTGGAACTTCTGCTTTTTTTAGCATTTGTTCATCATATGTGCGCGGTATGTGATGCGAACGCGACATGTAACATCACGGGAAACTTTCTAATCTGTATAATCCTCTGAAGTGAACCCAAACTTATTTATGTTAATTGATTGTCTGAGGTCACCAAGCGAGACGAGAGATTTAACCAAGAGGCACGTATCAATGCAAAAGTGTCCCTAAAATATTGAATTATTTAAGTATAGATTTTAAAGAACTGCAACGCGTTCATCTCGCAGACATCCAGTGAAAAATAAAATTGGAAGGGTTTCACTGCCGCCTTTACATACGAGTAATCGTTCAAACTGTGTCTTTTATATTAAAGTTAAGTGGAAACGTTAAAAATTATTGATAAACATCGAACAAATAGAGCGTTATTGATTGCAGCCATGGTAACAAGAATATTAAGGCCACAGAAGCTTTATTATGCAAAAAAAAATTAACGCCTACTTCTGGCTCGAGATTGATCGTAGCACTTTGATTTTGAGTCATACCCCTTTTATAAGAACCTAAATTGTATGTTTTTTTCTTCGACTTTGACCTTGACTAAAGTTTTTAAATGCACAAGTAAATATGAAATATACAGATACCCTTAAGAGGGCGAACTTTCGACTCTGCTCTAAATAGTGTATAGGAAGTGAACCATCGATGGATAATGTCAATAAACTTTTTTTGTAAGGTTGGAGGAAAAGACAAGCCGAAGGTGGGGAAAATATAATTATTAGCAGATTTTGAAATGATGCTAAAATGAAAGCATGGTATAGTTGTATTTTAGACTTACAATGGCGGTCCCTAATAATGTTAACATGACGCGGGTCTCTAAATATTGAGTTGGACAAGTTAAGGTTTGCGGATTGGTTCCACAGAGATATTTCTGATAATTTTCTTTCACTTTGCAGCAAATTTGACGACCTTTCTAAGGAGGACGCCTTGAAAAACAATGAATTGGTAGGTTTATTTGGACCAAACCGTGCATTCTTGCGAAAGAGAGAGTTTTAGTTTTGTGATATGTATAACTGATCTCCATATTTTCAAGTCTCTCCATAAACGAACGGACGAAAATGTATCATAACTTGAGGAAAACAGAGCAAGGACGATGAATGAAATTCAAGAACTTACTTAAGTCAAAGAGCGCATTGCCTCACGTTTTAGCTGTGTTGAGCAAAGTAAGTTTTATATTTCAGGCTTTCAAAGTGGCCGAGGAAAAACTCAAAGTTCCAGCTCTTTTGGAGGCAAGTGACCTGGTATCAATGGAAGAGATTGACGAGATGAGCGTAATGACGTATCTCTCCATGCTGTACAAACGAATTAAAAAAAATTCCTCGCCTGGTGAGTAGTTGCTTTTCTGATTTGAACTATTCTCAGGACGGAAATTCTTCTGATAATGCACGTTTGAGAAATTTAACAGGGGGAATATTGTTCCTTGCTGTCTTCAGTGGAGTGAAGCAATCTCGAAGACGTGCGCCAATCGTTTACAATACCGATCGTCTTAGTACACACCTTTTCGTTCACTTGCGCACGTCTGGTGTTTGTTTATGTAGGAAGAAAATGTCACTTTTTAAAATGATAGTGATATGTATTTTTTTATTTCATAGCCCCCAGAACTCCCGCCGTCAATTCTACTACAGGTATGTAGAATCTATGAAACTTTTGCAAATGATGCCAAACACGAACTGCCCAAAACTTTGATAATGCTCAAATTTCACTCTAAATTCATCCAGCTGAGTTCTATAAAAAGTAAAATTAAAAACATCTTGTAAACCACATGTTGTAGACTCAAAAAAGGAATAAGTGGACCCGTCATTATTTAGCCCCTTCGGGGTGGGTCGAAGGATTCTAGGAGGGGGGAGGATCACGTGGTTTTCAAGGGGGTATGAAGGGAGATCAGTCGCCTCTAACAGAGTTTGGAGGGGTGAAATTAAGAAATTTGACCGCTAATGAGCGGGATCATCAGAATACTACAGACCCTTATGGGGTATTAAGAAAATTTTATTGAGACACAACCAAGGATCGGTAATACGCAGTGATGCATAGCTGTTCTGTATTACCGTTTGCGACCTAACATCACTAGACCCACCTACACCTTCTTCAACTTTACCACAATGGCACTAACTGTCATCGTCACACCTGTGTCCACTGTACGTCAGTGACGTCGTCACCTGAGGAGAAATTTATTCATTTAATCTTAAAGAACGTGCTGCTCAATAGAATGTCCTCGGGGTATATCTTTCTACCTAAGAACTTCTTGAGAACCCCTCTTTGTTATGACGTCATTTGCCATTTCCTAGTTGCTTTTCGTCCGAGCGTATCCTTTGGTCTCGATACTTTAAGAAAACTGTCTTAATGAAACTGCGTATCGCGTGGCGTGATTGCGAAGTTTTGATTAACGTTGGCAGTTCTGACGTCCATATGTACATCCACTATTAGCTTCTAATATTCACTTTCTCTGGGTGTTTCCATGATCAGGGCCTGGTTTATCACAACTGTTGTGACATGAAGAGTCCACATGCACGAACATCCCCTCCCCCCCACCCCACTGAGGAGATGTAGTCGTCTCAGGTTATCCCCCACCCCACCCTCACAGCATTTCGTCACGCCTCCCTGGCAGTTCACCACTACCCATTTATACCCCTGGGTGGCGAGCGGCATTGAGAAAATAAAGTGTCTCGTCCAGGAGCACAACACAATTTTCAGCCGAGCTCAAGCCCAGGCCTACGTGTGCACACGTTATTACCCCTGTCGCTGCTTGGTTGTTTTGGTTGTCAAAAATATTTTTTGCCACTAATTCAATGTTTATCTGTTGTAGTTCCAACAAGGAGAACCCTTTTTGACGTCTTGAAAGATGAGAACAACTTCACCGAGCGTTTTGAGAAACGAAAACACCGTCTCAGTTCTGGAGAAAAAGACAACTTCTCTAACAGATCAGTGCCAAAGGAAACTACCTTAAGAGAACTACACCAGGAAAACCACGTCTAAATAGTAGATGAATACTGTCCCCCTTCATTGGACTGGAAGACAGTTGAAAACATCCAAATTTTTTTTTTGCTAGTTTGTCTCAAAATGACTGAAGTTGTAACGAAACGACCTTTCTGTCTGCCATACGATTCTTATGATGTTAGTTTGAAGTAATTGGTATTGGATCAATTGATAATGCCCTAATTGATATTTTTCTTTATTTCCGTTACTTATCGGCTCGATATTATATCAGTATTGTAAGGAGAAATTCTATCATGGTCATTCGTTGGAGCTTAAGAGTTAAAGGAGATGTTATCAGCTGATAACGATGAAAATACTTAACAGGTGGACTTCACACAGATTATTAATCACTAAAATTGGCAACCAGCGGTAAAGGGCAACTGTAGTATGAATAGAGGTGTAACCTGGGATCTTTGCATTTTTTTCCTTCTCATTCGTGTTACGCATTTACCATTTTAATATATGAAAATAAGAAATTATGAAGCCTGTGTACGGATATATGGAGCACGCATGATACTGTTAAGTGGAGACATATGAAAATTAAAATTATCTTTCATGAAATATAAAAATATAAGAGAACTTGAAATAAAAGTCGATTCACGTCTCCCTTTTGTTGCACTTCCTTGTTTTATGCGGCAATTTTTTTCAGCGGCCGGATTGTTGTTCAGAATTATCATCAATTTTACTTCCCCGTTAATTTTTTTGATAGTCTCGCCATTTTTTAAAATTTAATTAATTTTTAACAATATTAATTTCTCATATAGTTTATTTTTGGATCTCAAAACAATGTAATATTTCTCCTTCAGTTTCATTTTCCATTTCCTCTTCCTCCCGGGACTGATTTAATCTTCACGCGGATGTACTTTCGCTTTCAATTTCCTCTTACAAAAAACAGAGAGTGAAACCTTGCCTTACCCCCTCCCCCCTCCCCCCTCCCCCCCTTTAGCCATCAATGACAACTCAGCTGGAGAACCAAGATGGCTGCCCAGGTAAGGCTTTCAAAATCCCGCATAAACGTTTCCTTCGTTCATGACAGGCACAGAATTTTCTTTAATCATTTCACCGTTTGACCCTTTATTCAGTGCCTCAAAATTCACTTTATAAATTTAAAGAGACCGCTGAGTAGCGATGAATTCATGCGCTACTTCCGTTTCAACTTTCGCGTGGATGCATTTACATTTAAGTTCACATCACTTTCCTTGCGATATCTACAACAGACATTATCGAAAGCGATGAATTTCAGCGTGAGACGTTTGCAGAATGCAAGCTTGTGACCGAAAGATGTGTTTTAGAATTCTAGATCAACAGTGATAAATTTGTTACGCGAGCTTCGCCTTCGAGAAAAGAGAAACAAATACTATATTAACTGTGTACGTCAACTCAATATGTGCAACATGTAATGAGTCGGAATACAATAGTTTAAATTTTTTGTATGATATTAATGTATGGTAACTTAATGCATCGAGATGTTAAGCCGATTCGCTAATATTTTAAGATAGAAGTTGCGGTAAACTTCATATATTTAATATTCATTTTTCTTTTCAATTAAGTAATTCTTAAAATTGGATTAGATTTTAGCAATGTGGAGATTTAGGACAGAAGATAACCCCTCACACCTTAACATCAGTTTTCATATTCTCCATATTGTTCCCTATACGTTTTATAAGCTGCTGACAAGGTTAAGGAGAATTTGTGTAACAGTCAAGAGCTTCTTTAGTTGGTGATTATTTCCTGTATTCTCCTAACCTTAATGTTTGATTCAGGGCTGATACTGTGAAGAGAAATTAGGTGCTAGTCACTCTTAGGTGTAAAAGGGTTAACACAGTTTCAGTTCTGGAGGAAATTATAGTAACACAGTTGCAACTCTTCTAAATGTATGGTATTGTTGTACATGTTGTTATATTGCCCATGAGGTGTCTTTCCTGGATGGAAATTTCATGCTGCATCCTCCAAATGTCAAAAAGTGAAGTTCGTAATAAAAAATGTTTTTTGGGTTTTGTTTTGTTGTAGGCATCCTCACTTGATGTAATAAAATCTGCAGCAAGGAAGTTCATTGATTTTGTGAACAATGGTCCTTCACCTTATCATGGTATGGCTTATCCTTCCAGCTTCTTTAATTGATAATGTGCATGAAAAAATTAGGTGCTTCTGATTGGCTGTAAACAAGTGCATTCTCATGTAACACAAGTGCAAAGTTGTAACACGAGTGCAAATTACATATAGTGCACACATGTTCAAAATTTTGTCTGCCTTAACTTTCTGTGATGTTTTTTCATTTACTTTATTAACAAGTTATATCATGATTTCTCTTGCAATTTGGTGTAATAAGCACTTGTAAATTTTTCACAGACTATAAACTGCACTTGCCTTACCAGCTCATGCAATGTTTTGTTTCAGTTGTCAATGAGTGCAGAAAGGTGTTATCAGCAGCAGGATTTAAAGAGCTCAAGGAAAAAGAGCACTGGGATATCAAGCCTTCTGATAAGGTGAGAAATGGGAGTTGGGGCTTTATATTTAACCTTTTTGAAAGGTTGCAATTTTGACATGACCCAAAATCACAAAATGGTTACCAGAAATAAAAATTATGTTGTCTGGGAAATCATATGGTGCACTTAAAATTGGCCACACCTGTTTTCCTTTGAAATAAGTAAGGGACTAGTCATTATTTATGTAGAAAAGGGGGGAAGAGAAAAATATGTTTGGAAGATCAAATTTCTATCAGGCCATGTAAATAGCAAGTGACCCTCCTCCCTTATTAAATATTAGCATGATGACTCCTCTCCCCTCCCCTGTCACCTCATATCTCCTCTTTTATGCCTAGAAACTATTAAAATTTATCTCACATACAACTATAAGATGATTAAATTGGTAATGGACCACTTTTAAAATGTACCTCAAACTGCTGACCCCTCTCCCCCCAAACTTCATTATAAAACGTCATGCCTCCCTATAGCCAATCTGAAGTAGCCTCAACCACCACCTCCTCTTTTATCTCCCTCCCTCTTCACAAATAACAACCAGTCAGCTGCCAGTTGTCTTTGTAGGATCATGCAACCTTTCCAGGCTTGATACTTGGACAAGTAGGGAAACAGAACTTACTGAAATGTTTTGTAATTTAAGGAAATATCAAAGCATTGCATATGTATAACTTAATATTCTAAATACAATGTAGTAATTTAACACATACCATCAACATAGGAACTTACATTGCAAATTTATTGCCAATTTTTTTGGCCATGGTGACCAAAACAGTTTTAGCTTGGCTATGCAGGAGCATAATAGGGGGTATATTTTACCAAATCCTTCCCCTGTTAAAGACTTTGCCTGCATCATTGACCCATCTTTCATCTTCACCTGTTAGTTCTTTGCTCCATTCAGTATTTTGTGACTAGAAACCAGTCAACGATCATTGCATTTGCTGTTGGTGGGAAGTATGTTCCTGGAAATGGGTTCAGCATTGTAGGAGCTCATACTGATAGCCCCTGTCTCAAGGTACACAAGAAAAAGTCTTCTCATTAAAAGTTGCCACTGTAAAAATCATTCATTTATTAAAAATAGTCACTGCAAAAATTGTTCATTTATGTAATATTTATTATTTTAATAATGCAAGAGGTCAGAAGTCACATTACTTCAAAGACTTGAGGTAATACCTTTATGGTTTAAGTATTGCATTTATTTGAAAATATACAAAACACATAGGGAGGTTAAATTTGGTTTGAAATTTGTCAAAATCAAAAATTTAATAAACTAAAGGCTTTTTTAAACCTGCAATAAATCATTAAAAAAATCAGTACTTATTTAAGAAATAAGGTTACCTTTTTTTCCAATGAGAAATAAAGGAACAGGAGGTTAGTGAATGGTAACATGGCAATGTTTTCAATCTGCATCTGAAAAAAATCATAGCTGAGGTCATCAAAATTTGGTTGGATGTTCTGTGTCGTGGCAGATTTCTTCAATCTCCAATGCCTTTATAAAATGGGTAATTAAGTATTAACAACTAAAGTATCAACTCTTGAGTTGATAACATGAATTGGCCACCATAAAGAGTTTAGCCTATTGTCAATCACTCTGACAATGGGCTAATGCTCAAAACTTCCACTTCGAAACTCTTAGTGGTGGCCAATTTACGTTATCAACTCAGTTGGTAATACTCAATTACCCTGATATACTCTCCCATCAATGCAGCTTCACAGTTTCTTTAGAAACTTACCCCCTTTATTCATTTGCCTTTTTTAAACACTGTTAAGTGCTAGAGATGTTGAGAAAGATATGAGTGGATTGATTGAAAGAGGAGCAGATCAGACAGCAGAGAAAATTACCCTGGCACATAATTTTTTAACACTGCAATTTATGTTGGAACAGATGAAGCCAAACTCCAAGAAGAGCAGCAATGGATATCAATAAATTGGGGCGGTGTTTTATGGAGGAGGAATCTGGGCCACTTGGTTTGACAGAGATTTGAAATTGGCTGGCAGAGTTATGATTAAGGTACTATACTGTTAGTAGCATTTACTTCCAACATTAGATTCTGTCTTGAGACATCATTGAAAAGAGTTAATAAAGAAAATCAAAGGACCTCTTTGTGTATATTGTTTGCATGCATACAAGTTTTGATAAACTTGGTTATCAATTGCATATCATTGTGTATGCTGTTGTATAATTTAACTAGACAATTTGGTTAATTTCCTTGTGGTAAAAAGGTACTGTTATATTTTTACTTTTACATGAACACTTTAACTCCCACAGGGGTGACCAACAATCATTACTTCTCCTTTCAATATCAACATATTTTTTTTAGAAGAAAAGTCATGAGGAGTAAGGAAACTAGTATTTCACAACATGTTTCAAGCTCTTCTTCTATGAGAAAAATTTACAGCAAACAGTATAAAGAATTCATTATTTTGATAATTGGAGTGAAAAGCCATTAATTTTGATTAATTTGCAAAAGGACTTCATGCAATCTAATTGTGTCTGTGTTCATACTTTCTGGTGATTGGCAAATTGGACTCTTGCTTTTCAGTGATGGAATTGTGCTTATCACATTGAATACAAACTGAATTGGACTCCACCTGATCATAGTAACATTATTATTTCCTATTTCTTCCTGGATTGAATTGCTCAACAGAAAGGTGATAAATTGCAGCACCATTTAGTTCACATCAACAGACCAATCATGCGTTTTCCACATCTGGCAATTCATCTGCAGCGGGACATCAATGAAAAGTTCTCACCAAATACAGAAACTCACACGTGAGTAACTTCAATGCATAGAGTCACAAGAAGCCCAAGCTCAGTATTTGGAGTAACTGAATTACATGCACATTGTGATAACAAACACTAGATGAGTTAAGCTTCTATAATGGGGAAAATAGTGGTATTTAGAAACCAAAAAGACCTAGATATCAACTACTTTAACCCCCCGCGAGTGACCAAGAGAGAATTTCTCCTTACAATATTAATACAGTATCAACCAGACAAGTGATGAGAATAAAGAATTTAGTTCCTCCTCTGTGTTCTCTATTTATTATTTTGCAAGGTTGGTCACTCAAACATAGTCATCAAACTGATCCAATGTCATCAACCAACTAACTGACTGACTGACCA